CTTAGGTGATGAGGGAGAATTAATATTCTGGTTTGGTGCCATGCAGACTTAAATCTTAGTGAAAATGTGTTCTAGTTTGAAAGGCCTGTCTCTTTTAACTGACTCCCCCTACAACCAGTTAGGGAGCATTTTAATTTTAAGTATCCTAAATATTTAATGTCGTCACAACTTGGCTCAAAATAATGTGACAACATATAGAAACCACACAGTCTTTAAAAAACAAAAAACTTTTTAATTAACAACATAACAATGCAGTAAGTGTGTGCTTGTGTCAGTCTGTCAGTGAAAGAGACAGAAACTTGAAGGTCTTCTTCGTGGCCACCAGAGTAGTCAGTTGTGTTCAACTCCACCCTTATATTAACTAAACAAAGAACACAACATTTGAAAAAACTATGATAATGACATGGTATGGCTGATACTGGGTGATGATTCCTTGTAAAATAGGCTCTCCTAAAACATGCCATACATTTCTGTAAAAATGCATAATTCTCCTCTGGAGGTTTACATGACTGAATTTTTTTTTCTGGTGTTTGTTTGTCTCCACAGCACTTGCAGTAAAAGGAAGTTCCAATGTACCAATAACTTGTGTGATTCTGTATGTGGGATCTATGGAGATGGTCACTACACCACATTTGACGATAAGAGGTTTGACTTCAGTGGACAGTGTGGATACACACTCCTCCAGGTAAAGTGGCAGACAGGCAGATAAGCAGAAGTTAAAGTTGAAATCCTTTGATGTTAGCTCTGTTCAGTTTAGCAGCAAACCTAATCATGGTAGCAGCAAAATGTCCATGGGTACTACTTTCTCTCAGACATACAACAGAAGAGCAACTTCTCTATGAGCAGCTCAATCTTCTTCCATTAGTAACTGCAATCGTTTAAACGAATATGCCACTACCAATAAAAGCTGCTTTTTAGATATGTAGTGAATCTAAATACACTAAGTATCTTTTGTAACTTAAACAATGGTGTCCAGTAATTGTATAACTTATCTGTGCTTTACTCAGGATTTCTGTGGTACTGGTCAGAGCAACGGAAGCTTCAGAATTATCACAGAGAATGTTCCATGTGGAACCACAGGAGCTACCTGCTCCAAGACCATCAAGATCTTCCTGGGGGTAAACAACCAAAACACACTTGTGCATGTTCTGCCTCAAACACTAGATCACATCCTCAAACCAATAGGATAATGCACTAGAATTAAGCTAGGATTATGGATGAAATTTTAGTGTGCAGTTTCTTCCCAGGTATCAGGGGACATGGGTCAGAGTTAGAAGGAAACATTTTTTTAATTATCCATTGAGATATGATTATATCTTGAACCTCAACTTACTGTTGCAATAATAACTGCATGTTCATTTCATTTTGATACCCACAGGATAATGAATTCCAGCTTAAAGATGAGAACTTCCAGGTGATAAAGGGCAGCAGCAAAGTGTTCCCTTCTCAGATACACAAGATGGGTATTTACCTGGTGGTATCGATCAAGTCAGGACTTGTGCTCATGTGGGACCAGAGGACCAGTCTTTTCATTAAACTCAGCCCAGAGTTCAAGGTAAGTTAACAAGTCTATGTTACAACTAGCCTTTGCACAAGTTATAGTTATGACTTGAACAATTCCATTCAGTCTGGCTTATTGTCAGGATACATGAGAATCTTCATGGACCCATCGGGTCATGTGATTTGAAGAAGAAACTTGTTCAGTGCATTGTAAGAGGACAGTATGATAAGAATCAGAAATATCTTCACAGCAGGGTATTTGTTTGAGACAAAAGAGCTAAAAGGAGAGTGAAATTCGGACATGACAAAATGCTCACTAAAACATATTTAAGATTTAAAGTTGTCAGTATTTTATGTGTACCTACCTTAAGAGAAAATCAATCACCTCAATCACATTTTCAAGAGAATTGGGCTCAAATTCTCTATGTACATGCTACTTTAAAGACAATTCAATGTGACTTGGGGCACAGTTATCATGGGGTTGAAGAATATTATGCACAAGATTTCAAGCACTTTATAAAGTGGACACTAATGGCACCTAATGAAAATGTCACATACAGTGATAACAAACAGATCCCATTCTATCATATAGCAGTAATTGTCATGGGTTCCTTCCCCCCAGGGTCAAGTCTGTGGTTTGTGTGGAAACTATGATGGCAACAGCAAGAATGACTTCACCACACGCTCCGAGGGGACCGTGGCCGATGTTATCGAATTTGGTAACAGTTGGAGGGTTTCCTCCACCTGCCCCAGCGCCCAACTTATCAGTGATCCCTGTTCCACAAATGGCTACCGGGCAGCCTGGTCCCAGAAAAAATGTAGCATCATCACCAGTGTCACCTTCAAGAACTGTCATTCACAGGTAAGCATGGTGATAACAAACTCTATGCTATAGATTGCACATACACTAAACTTATGGGACAGTTTGAGGTATCATCAAGATTACATAGCGCTAATTAAAATAGATAATTTTACAAATTTTATTGTTCCTTTGCTTTATTAGGTTTAAATACTCTTTGCTTATTCTGTTGGTCAGGCGGGTGGTCTGCCAATCTAGCTACAGTATTTTTGTTAAAATAATTTGGTCCATAGCAAAGGTATCTTAGAAACTATAGGCTTGACTGTCTCTTGAAGAAAAAAAAACTTGAAGGATTTGGACTGGACATTTACTGTCCCTAGTAGATGATTCCCTCTGATTAAAGTGATTTATGACTTTCTACACCACCATCTCCCCAGTGTTTCTACTGGTTAGACACTGGTAAGACTGCTGTTGCTAATAATAATAGCATAAGACAACATTTTTGTTCCCCCCATCTTTTTTTGCTTAACATTAAAGTATTGTGTGTTCAAGGTTGACCCTGGACCATATTTTGATTCTTGTGTGAGAGACTCTTGTGCTTGTGACACCGGTGGGGACTGTGAATGTTTCTGCACTGCAGTAGCTGCCTATGCCAAAGCTTGTAATGAAGCTGGAGCGTGTGTTAAATGGAGATCTCCAAAAATGTGCCGTAAGTTTGGTTACCATTACACGAGAAAAATTTGAACTACGGGATGTAAGGATTTAGAGGCACTCTTGGTTGCAAAAAATGTTTTATTCAAAAAAGATTTAAATATATTTGTCACATTAAGTGTTACAAGCTAAGCTAATACTTGTTTTGTCTTGCAGCTATTTTCTGTGACTACTATAATGAACCTGATGGTTGTGAGTGGCACTACAGGCCTTGTGGAGCTGCCTGCATGAAGACATGTCGAAATCCATCAGGAAACTGTTCGAACCTCATCACTGCCCTGGAAGGTGCATTAGACAGATCTCTTGGCATAAATGTTGACTTGACACTTCTTGATTAGATTTGTTTGACTCCTTGATGGGGCAGCTTTAGCTCAATAGGTGTCATACTCTACACCTTAGAGGGGAGCTTGCCACCATCAGTTTTATTTGTTAAACAGTGGAAAGCATTTAGAATGATCACGTTTGCCTTATGGTGACTACTAAAACCGAATGGCCTAGCTTCTGTATGAAGCTTCTGCAGAACTTGAGGGACATGTAAGCGCGGTTTGTAAGATAAGGGCAATATCACATTGCACACTCTCATATTTGTGCACATACATACACACACTCACATTTCTCTCTCTCTATCTCCCTATCTCTCTCCTGACTTGCCAACATACACACAATGACATCGACTCAGTTTATGACAATTTGTTGAAATGATGGCACAATATCAACTCCAATCACCACATAATGTGCACATTCATTCATTAATTCAGCCCATCTTACACACTGACACACACAGACACACAAACAGTGTCATCAGACACATGTGTAAACTCAGAATGAGTAAAACAACAAACAAAACATGTATGAAAAGTCTACAAATTAACACTGTAAGCAGACTTAGTGGAGCTGTGCATGGCTCCCTGGTGCCTGCCTCAGACCTGGCGCTGCAGCCGGGCTGTGTGCAATCTCCCTCTGGCTGTTGAGCTGTCCGTGGTCCCTGCATCTGGGATTGTTGATCTTTATTTATCGCCATTTAAGTCATGTCGTCATCGCAATATTTGACAAGGTTCGCATTTTTTCCTAATAGCATGCAGCCCTACCATACACGCCCTGTTTCATGAAAGTGCAAAACTAAATCAGCCCTTATAAACCACCTTTAGAACCAGGGCTCATCACAGCAGCCCTCCAATAGACAACGCTTCGCGATTAAGTGACACTACAGGTGTGACTTTACTACCTCATTACCTCAGTTTAGAAGCAAAACAGATTTGCAATGACTGAAATTGTGAACCAGGTATGCTCGGGCAGCCAACTACATTGGTTTGTAATCTTGAAATGGTAATGTGTCAGAAATTAAACATTTTATTGCTACATCAAGACAAAATATTAATATGCAAAACCTGATATTCAAACCTAATATTCTGCTGATAATGTAAGTTGATGAAAACACGAGAAGGTGATCACTCAGAAGAATTTAAATTCAAAATGAACACTGTAAGCAGATTACTTTATCACTATAACCAAATTATTTAAGCAGCATTTGTGTAAGAAAGATTCTGTCCCAAGCTTCATCCTGGCTTGATCCATATGAATGATTGATCACTATATCCGCTATCCCTATATCCACTGTAATTGCTTTGCAGGCTGCTATCCACGGTGTCCTCCAAACCAGCCATACTTTGATGAAGACACCATGAAGTGTGTTGAATGGAACCAGTGTGGCTGCTATGATGATAGAGGTATCCATTACCACATTGGAGAGCTGGTCCGATCGAGCAACTGTTACATTTGGTACGTCTCATACACTTGGAATCATCAATCTCAGAACTTGGGGATTAGTGCCTATACAACATTTGGACCCTCACAGTTGTGATATAAGATAACTGAGAAGGAAATTTCTTTTGACTTACTATACATTTGTAGCAATCTTTGCACCTGTCCTTTAAAAGAAAATGTGTTCGGTTCAAATGTAAGAATGTCAGCAAACAAAACTTATCTGTCTCTGGAGATGACAGCTTAAGCCATGCACTGGACTCCATGGATCCTCCGTATTTGTCCGTTCATATTTGTGAACGCAAATGTCTCACTTCCTGAGGATTTGTGAACGCATCTGCGCTGAAAACCTCTATGGGACCAGATTGTAGCAAAACTATTTGCAATCACTGTTTAAATGAGGTGTCCAAACTGCAATGGTGTCTAGATTTGTTAACAATTGAAATATAATATTTTTAATTTCGGTCCCTGGTAAGCTATTGATTTTAGAAATTGTTTCTGACTGGCCCACAAGATCTTAATGCAGATTCATAAAATGTTTCACTTGCGTACACCAAATGCATTTTCCAGTGGCCTAAAGTTCATTATATCATGCTGTGAAATGTCGTCTTTATCAGCCATGGTACAAGCAGTAACTGTTTAATATACCTATGTATTGCATCAACTCAGCCTACCTTACACAACTGCCTGCTCTATTTTACTCTGAGTTTGCTTTTATAAAGAGATGAAAACTGAAGAGCTGTTAACTATGACATTACGGTACACATGTAACCCCTTTTTTTAAGTAGTATTTACAATTGTTTTCATATTTTTTGTTCTTACACAATGTTTGTTTTTTTATTATATGACTTTCCTCCAAAATTATCCTAGTGGACATCACATCAACCCATTACACCAACAAATAGGATTGGCCAAAGCAGTATTTAGAGGGTCAATTGAACGTCAAACAATTAATGCCAAAAATGTACATTTTGAGATATGCAGGCCTTGTTGATAAAATAGTAAAATGTATTATTTTGAACAGAATGTTTGCATTTTGTGTATGATCTGTCAAAAAGCACTGACATAGCAGCTGTTTCCCTCTGTTCCAAAGCTCCTGTACAGTTTCCGGAATATTATGCAGCTACAACATGAGCTGTAAGTGCACCTATTTTGACACACACACACGCACACAC